GCCCCGCCCCCACACACACACACAATAGAGAAAATCTTACAGAGAGGGAGGAGACTGCTTGGAAAATCGCCTGCAGGGGTTCTAAGGCTCCCTCACTATTATGCAACAGTTTCCTCTCTTTAGGAAAACAGGTGGGTTTGGCAGGGACTACTGCTAAACGTTTGTCCACAAGCTGTGCTTGAAAAAAAATCTCCGTGTCTTTCACAGAGAGACTGTAAAAGATCTCTGAGAGGCAAAATGTATCCTCTGCATACACCTAGTTTAGAAATCCTGCTTCTGTGTTTTGATATGGCTTTATATAGTAAGTGGAAAGAAACGTATTTCTTTGAAACTCATAAAAGGCAGATCTTATAGGCCCGTGGAGTTACCAAGTCACAATTTCTGCCTCAAGAAAGGTAAACAAAGACCAGACACCTGTTCCCTAGAACAGTCACCTAATTTTCCTTTGTGAGTGAATCCATCTCATTGTCTAGGGAGCCATACCAACTCAGCTGATTAGCCTCCTCGCATGTCTGCCCATCCTGTTTATAAGCAGATGATTCTCTCCCATCCAGCAGCATAGAATCCCAAAAGTTTTGAAGAAACACCCACCGGGAGCCAGCGACCAATGTCTCCTGTGTGAAGCCAGTTGTCCTTGTCCAGGGCTTCATTTGTCTTCTCAGGGTCCTTCAGGTATCCTTTGAACACACTGCTTCCCTTGACGCAGATCTGCACGTAAGGGCACAAGGCAGTGACAATAGCAAAACCTGCTACTCCCAGCATGGGTACTTGACAAAACACCTGCTCCCACCCCTTACATCATTTGACGGTTTCTACTACAGCATGAAGAGCACCAGATTTTAATCCCTGTTGTCTGGGATAGAAAAGTGAGGCTCAGAGGCATTCAATTCCTTGCTCAAGATCTCAAAGGAATCAACCCCAAACCTGCTCACAGTTGTGTGCTCCTCCTGATACAAACACCCCTCCCCATGATCGTCTGGACGTGACTACTGGCCATAACCTACCCACCTCTCCTTCGTTGTTTGCCGAAAAGTAGTTCATGTCAGCCACATCTTCCAGCTTCACGTGATTGCAAGGTACAGGGACTCCAACATGGCCTAGAACACACCACACTGAATCAGCTGGGAAATCAGAAAACGGTGATAATTCCAGGCATATTTCAGAGATATTTATGGATCGACTAAAAGAATAAGACTGAAGAATAATCTGCCAAGCTAGGATGGCTTGGACCAAAACCTGAGTTTGGCCTTTGCCACCTTCATCCAGGGCACCGGGGTTTTCTAAACTCCAAAGTCCAAGTTCAGTTAGAACCTTTCTCCCAACCACTATACCTCCTGCCCAGTTAGATGGAGAACCTACCTGACGTCCAGTCTCCAGGTAACGTAGATGTACAGCCCGCAGTGCATTCCGTTTGTCCATAAGCTTCAAGCACCTGGGGAAACCACAGAAGGGCTGGGAAACTGACTCACGATAAAGCATGAGCCGGCCACGCCCTGTGGCGAGACCAGACCTTTGACGGTCCAAGGACACTTAGTGTCAGTACCTTGAGTCCATGCCTGAGCTATGTTAAATCTTTATGACTAGGGGTCCACTCAAAAAGCAAAAGGGTCCGAAATAGACCAAAGTATGGAAACTTATATTTTAGGAAATGCTGTATTTCAAGTCGATGGGAAAATGGGTGATGTGCAACCCAATGGCAACTGGACTTGAACCTGGGCAATGGAACGCTTCTGAAGGAACTGAAGTAGCATTTTTTTAAGAGGAAAATCTCCAACCATGGTATAGAATAAGGGCTGGCAGGCTTTTCCTGGATAGGACCAGACAGTAACTATCTCTGGCTTCGTGAGCCTGGGGGTCCCTGTCTCAATACTTAACTCTGCCAAAGTAACATAAAAGCAGCAGCAGACAATACGTAAGTGAAGAGCCATGTCTGTGCTCCACTAAAATTTTACTTATATGAAAATAGGCAATGGACTAGATTTGGCCTGTGCTGTAGTTTGCCCAGCCCTGGTATAGAGAATAATCTTGATTGGAGAGAATCTGGTAGGCGGAAACAAGTGCACAGGCTACTGCGATGGGGGGCGTGGTCTGTGATAGGCCGTGTGG